CTTGTGTTTAACATAATCTTTTACACCTAACAATTTTTAAAGGCAACAAAAATATTTTCATTTGGAGATACCAATATGAACATTTCTTTAGGGAAATGTGACAATATTTAGGAAATAACCATGTCAAAAATGGCAGTTATATGAAGTGACTTATATATGGACTAAGTATTGGCTTTTCCCTAAACATTGGAAGAGATCAAAGAAAGTGATTTGACTTGTAATTTTCTTTTTATCTGTCAAGCTCTTCTTGGGTGTCAGTATTTCATTGTTTGATTCAAACAATAAGTAGCTATGGTGACTGTAAACTGGATGAAGAAACAAGTTCTACACCTATCTCTTAAAATCCTGCAAAGTCTAATAGTGCCATACATATAGGGTGGGGTAAAAGTAGGTTTACAGTTGTGAGTATGGGAAACATAGCTAACTCTTGTTTTATTATTTATTAACTAGAGGCCTGGTGCACTAAATTCATGCACTGGGGGATGTCTCTCAGCCCAGCCTGCACCCTCTCCAATCTGGGACCCCTTGGGGGATGTCCGACTGCAGGTTGGGCCTAATCCGGCAGTCGGACATCCCTCTCACAATCTGTGACTGCTGGCTCCCAACCACTTGCTTGCCTGCCTGCCTGATTGCCTCTAACCACTCCCCTGCCAGCCTGATCGACACCTAATGCCCTCTCCTGTAGGCCCAATTGCCTCCAACTGCCCTCCCCTGCTGGCCCGATCGCCCCCAAGTACCCTCCCCTGCAAGTCTGGTCGCCCTAACTACCCTCCCCTGCAGGCTTGGTCACCCCCAACTGCCTTCCCTATAGTCCTGGTCACCCCTAACTGCCCTACCTTGCTGGCCTGATCACCCACAACTGCCCTCCCCTGCCAGTCATCTTGTGTCTGTGGTGCCACCAACTTTGAAGACGTGGCAGTCAATTAGCATATTCCCTCCTTATTGGCTGTGGGCACTGCCATCTTTGAGGGTGGGGCAGTCAATTAGTATATTCCCTCCTTATTGGCTGTGGGCACTGCCATCTTTGAGGATGGGGCCGTCGATTAGCATATTCCCTCTTTATTGGCTGTGGGCGCCGCCATCTTTCAGGGCAAGGCACCAATTAGCATATTCCCTCCTTATTGGCTGTGGGTGCCACCATCTTTGCGACAGCGTGAGAGCCAATTAGCATATTCTCTCTTTATTAGATAGGATTATTTTACTATTTTCCATACAAACAACTGTCAACCTACTTTTGACCCACCTATACAGTAGATAATTGTGGAACAGGCTCTTGTTCAACCTTTTAATAGGGAATTTTAATTCATTTGTGTTTTTATTATAATTATTGATAGATATATTTATATTTATCTGTGCTATTTTATTTTGCATTTTCTATTTACTATATTTTTCTTTGCTTTATTTTCTCCTTTCTTGTATTCTGTCAAGTACTTTAGTCTGAATACTAGCAAAAAGATTCATCAGGTGCTTATCAGCTTTATTTGTACACTGTGTTTTTGCATTTCATGAGTATCTTAGAAATTTGGTATCTATATTATGCAAAGTGTCCCCTCGGGAGTTTGACCAGGAGTTCAATCATTCACTATGATGTACGCTGACCACCAGGGGGATGAAGGAAGGCCCTGGCCCTGGCCAGCAGCTGATTTTCCCTGATTACCAGCCAGGCCTAGGGACCCTACCCATGCACAGATTTTGTGCACCAAGCCTCTAGTTTACTTATATACTTCAACCAAGAATTTTTAGTTTAATAATGTCTGCCAACTAATAGAATACTTCCCACCACTTTTATTTCCTCCCCCCAAAACATCTTTAGATAAATAAATGGGCATTTTATGTGAATTTATATTTCACTGTGATTTAACTTGTCAAAAAAACCTTCACTTTGCCCTAGCCAGTTGTTCAGTGGTTAGAGCATCAGCTGGTGACTGAAGGGTCATGGGTTTGATTCTGGTGCAGGGCAGTACCTTGGTTGCAGGCTTATCCCCAGCCAATCCAGCCAATCGATGTGTCTCTCTCACATAGGTGTTTCTCCTGTCTCTCCCCATCCCTTCCACTCTCTGGAAATCAATGGAGAAAATATCCTCGGGTGAGGATTAATTAAAAACCTTCACTTTTTGGGGGGAGGTGGGGAGGTCAGAACCAGTTATCTGTCTTCTATTTTGTCCATTAATTTTGTTCCTGTTGTCAAAACTGTCCCTCCCACCCCCTAAAAAAATGATGTGACACATGCTCATGCATTTATGTTAAAATGAGTACATCCTGTATTTGTATTTTTGTTTTCAACATTGCCAAGGTGCTATGGGAAATTAAAGTGACAAAACTTAGGACAAATAAAATTGTTTAAAAGCAAAAAAAAAAAAAAAAAACCTTCACTTTTTTAAAAAAATGTATTTTTTTATTTTTGAGAGAATGGGAGAGGGAGAGAGGGAGAGATAGAAACATCAATGACAAGAGAGACTCATTAATTGACTACCTTTTACACGCTCCCCACTTGGGATGAGCCTGTGCCCTGACCAAGAATTGAATCTTGACCTCCTGGTTCATGGGTTGATGCTTAACCACTGAACCACACTGGCTGGCAAACCTTTATTAATTTGACACATTGGATATTTTAAATAAGTATTTTTTTTTGCAAAGCTGTAGGTTAATCTTAGGATACAATTCCCATTTATTAAATACAGTTAGGAAATACAGCTCTATTAAAGAATTGGCAAAGAAAGCAAGAGACAAGAGTAATTCATTCAAAGGTGGATTTTTACATCCACAGTATGAAATCAGGTCATTAGTACTATTTTTTTCCCTGTACACATATATGTAACATCTAGTCATAATTGTTTACTCATAGAATTGACAAAAATAAAGGAGGTAGATGCCAAGAAAAGGACTTAAAATAAGAACAGGCATTTGCAAGGGACAATCCAATCCACACCAACCTCTGTGGAAGGCAAAATCCAATAAGCATTTACAAATATTCTGGTAGAATTGTCCTGCTTTTTTTCCAGATGGTGCTTCTCTCTCTCATGGTGCTAGAGGCATCATCTTCCTGGCGGGCTATACCAGTGGCATGTTTAAAATAAATTTGTAATTCTTTTAATATTGCTTGACTTTTGTGAATGAGTTCTGCAAGTAAGATGAGGCTTACTTCTCTGTGACACACATTTGACGAGTCATTTCTCACCTCTGAGATTGCTAAGAGAAGAAATAGAGAATGATTTGAGGAGTCAAAATGAATCATAAAGGAAGATTTATTTCACTCATCTTACCATCATACTGTGCATTTCTTCATCTATTTAAAAATTATGTTGTGACCCTGGAGTAGTAGTCTACTCTCAGTCACGCACATAGCTTCCCTTTAAGACTGTATTCTCACTCAGAGGTGATTTTGACTTGTTAGAGGGGACAAATTAAGGTGGTCCCAGGAATACCAGGTAGGTTTTAATGTTTAAATATGACTGAAATGGAGTAAATGTGTGTTTGTGACTATGTGCACCTTGAGTATATCTATTTTTAAGTTAATTCTAAGTTATCAATGACATTTTACTCAGACTTTATAATGGAGAGCTTTTCTGTGTTAAGTTGAAGAAAAGTTTCTTGAGAAATGGTTGGAGATTACTGTCATATATATGTCAGTGACTTTTGCCAATAGCTTTGGACTGCTTAAATAAACAACAGGTAATGTTAATCTGCAAAGATTTCCTTATAGATTTACTCTTACCAAATTGTAGTATGTTTTTCTAACTTTGACTGTAACCAGCAAGGCATGATTCTGTTAAGGATTAATTTTCTAGAACTTGTGGCAATGTGTGTTGATTTGTTGCATAATGACTTTAAATTACCACAAAGTAGCCCTCAGAGTAGTTTAACTAAGATAACAAAAATCTTGAAAAGTTATTAATATATGTTTATATTTCTGAATATATATATACATAGAATTTGTTCATATTAAAAATGTGGAGATATTATGGTTTAAAACTATGCAAAATGAGATCTAACAAAATAATTTATAATAAAACCTTTAATGCTATTATAATATAAATTATATTTTATACCAGAGGAATCCACATACGACATAGTAACTTACCAACTTAAACAAGTCTTGAACTTTTTTCTATGACAGTTATGCCATCTATAAAATTATCTATTTTTCCTTCTATCTCTTTGGTACATTACGAATATAAAATACACTAAGAATAAAATTAGCATGTCTATTTAAAGTATTAGAAAGTACAACAATATGTCTTTTTTGATGTTATTTTAAATATTCTCATCAAAAACTAAAAGGACGAAACAGAAGTTAGATTCTTAGTATTTGTTAAATGAGAGTGATTATTATTTGATATATTTTAGTTTGGAAATTTTTAAGCAACATTCAATAATTAATAATAGAAACCCAATAGCTTTATATAATAATTTGTTACTCAGTATTTTTAAAAAACCATTATATTAGTCTTATAATAATCTTGAGAATTCTATACATATATAGTACCAACTAAATTTAAGTATGAAAGATTAAAATTATTTGCTCAATGTTCCAACATTAAAGATGAAGTTAAACCTAATAATCTATGTTTTCTCATTTCCTAACAAATACCTTAGCTAAGTGATTGGGCTATTTTTTACAGGGAGCATTTTTTAAAGACAATGATTTTCACGATTAGTAATAGTGCTTTTATTGATTTGTTCTAAAAATGTGAATGTCTCTACCTTCCATATTTTGTTTTCATCTAACGTTTGGAGATCTATTTAATTGTTTTGAATTCAGTTTTGAAGTATTCCAAGAAACTTTATTTCTTATGATTTACACTGCCATTTTTCTATATCTATGATTAATTACTAAAATACTAAGAATATTACTATTAATTAATAAAATTAATACAACATATAATACGTATATAAGAACATTATATTTTTATTTAATAAAAGCTTAAGAGAAATGAACAAATTAACCAATTTACAAAATAAAAAATTATATTTTCAACTTTTAAATGGATTATAAGATGCCCAATATTTGACATTTTTTTTAATGTGAAAGATACATACATAGAATGAACTTGAATAACTTCATCTCTGAAAAAATTATAAGCTTTCTCTGATTTTCAAACTTAATAGTTAGAAGTAAAACATTAACTCATTTGAGTCAACAGTGAGTTTAAAAATATAACATCTTTCTTTTAAATTAAAAAATGGTTTCCAATAGTATGTTTGCTGCTTTTGTGTTTACTGCTAATTACATTGCTAGTTTTTCACTCCAAAGTCTTTAAAAAGAATATTAGATGCAAATCATCTAAGTAAATACTTATTGGGTGAAGGAATTCAGGATAGTCTCTGGGTTTGAAAAAATCTATATAAAATACCAACATCATCATTGTTATGATGTTTTTTTACTTCAGAGTATCCTGCCTTCTTATATTACTGGATCAAATCTTGAAATTATATACTCCAGCAAATGATACTATGAGGAATGTGTAGCACTAACATTTTAATTAAATTACAAAAGCATAATCTGCACAAGGCTGTAGCTAAGCATTTGATGACCCCTAATTATATTATTAGTTACATTTTTATTTGATACCTAGATAAACTGCATAAATTAAAAACATATAATTAAAGCAAAGTCATATCCTAATTTATAAAGACAATAAAAACAAAAGAGCATGCAAAATCCCCTTGAAAAGTAGTTACTACACCATTATAATGAGATACAATTTTACCAATATATCTTATAAAGAAAATAAAGGTCAAACCTTGCCATATGCTTTCTTGTTAAAATACTCTAGAAGGCCAGATAATAATGTAAGTCTCAAGTCATAAACATAATACAAAATGATTCACCCCCCATGAGCTTTTTGCCAGTCTAAAGTTATTTTGAATGACACAGGATGAAAGCCAACATTGGAAGATGGTAAAGAATCACCATACAAGGTTTTAAGTAACAAGACCAGAACCTCACTTCATTACTCAGGAACAATTACTGTCAGAGCACAGATATATTATATTTTCTGCTACCTACATTGACACCACATGTCTCACCAGGTATAAGTGGGCAGAGTCCTTTAACTGTAGTCCACTTTGGAGCCCAGTATGAAGGGTGGTGTGGGCCAAGGTACCACTGTTCTTGAAAGAGGAAAAAGCCTAAATGTGCATTAAGAATCTTGAAGAAAGACACTAGTCCAAGCAGGAGCCTTTATCTCAGAGTTCAAGGGCATAAAGGAGTTGTATTTTGCCCTGTGAACGGGATTGGCAAGGGTCAAATAAGGCCAGTCTGCTGGAAAAAAAAAACACACAAAAAACCCCACCCCACCAGCATATGGCCTAATTATATCCACAAACACAAAGACTTTTCAATTGCCTTTTTCATCAAAATTAACTCTTCCTTGCATTTATGAAGCAATATGAATACTTTTAGCAATACTCTTCTTCCTCCTTTGTCGACCCAAATGAGCTGTCCAGTCCACCAACAGAACTTGAGAAGTCAGAGTTCCTTTTAGAGTGACACAGACCTCTTTCTCCTCCTGGCAAAATCCCCTGCATGGATGAAGTTGGAGAGAGCCTTAGTGAGGTGACTATCTGATGTCTCCGTGCTGCTCCCAAAGTCATAGTTCTTGAGGCCAGGGCACAAGCAGTGCACAACGGCCCTGCGGATGTAGCTGTCAAAGACATAGTAAATAAAAGGGTTGACACAGCTGTTGGCAAATGCTAAGGGCCCACTCACCTCCATGCCCAGCTGGGGAATAGACGAGGAAAAGTAGTGTTCTTGCTGCAACCTAGAGACAATGGCCAGGAGCTTGAAAGTATTAAAGGGCAGCCAGGAGAACACAAAGGCTGCCACGACAATAAATATGATCTTGATGGATTTCCTCAGCTTCTTGTTATGCTTTCCCGTCTGCTGGTAATGGGCACACAGCTTCCTTGTGATACAGCAGTAGCAGGTCACAATGCTCACCAAAGGCGCAAAAAAGGTAGCAATCAAGGACACCAGGGCCCAAGTCAGTTTAATCGACGTGGCCCTCTTCTCTGCACAGTATGGCTGATCATTAATCAGGATGAGCTCCCTGGACAGAAGAGAAGGCAACCCCAGGAGGCAAGAGACAAACCAGACGCTGGCACAGACTCCATACGCACAGTCTCTCCTTCGGAATTTCCTGGATACGGCTGGACACACAATGGCCAGGTAGCGGTCGATGCTCATGCAGGTGAGCAGGAAAACGCTGCAGTGCATGTTGACAGAGATCATGTAGGAGCTGCCTTTGCACAGGAAAGAACCTGTTCTCCACAGTCCTAACGAGGCTTCTTTATCCACCCAGAGAGGCAGCGTGATGAGGAAGATGAAGTCCGAGGTGGCCAGGTTCAGGATAAAGATGTCGATCAGCCTCCGGCTGCCCCGTTTGAAATGCAGCACGCTCATGAGGAGGAGGTTCCCCAGCGCCCCGAGCAGGAACACGGTTGCGTAAAAGATGGGAAGGAAAACAGATGTGTAAGGAGCATGGAAGTGGGTCTCCTCCAGATCGTCAGGATTTGGGCTTGTCCCATATAAATAATCCCAATAAACAGAGGTTGCTTCTGGGTCCATCCCTAAAGATCAGATGGCAAAATCTGGTAAGTTTCCTTACCTAGGAAGTTTTTGTATGAATTTTAGAAATCTCAAGGCAGCTTCTTTTATACAGTGCCACTCCTCCCCCACCTCACCCTTCCCTTAGAAGATCTTGGTGCAAACATAAACACAGAGATGAAAAAAAAGCAGTTTCTACCACTCTTCAGAAAGCGCCCACCAGGAACATCACCCTGATTGGTGTTGGGTGGTTGTGGTTTTTTCAGTTTACATTTGCCCAGGAAACTAAGCTGCTTTTTTACTTCTCGCTTCAAGGTTTTGAACTTGTTTCTTTAAATCCAGAAATTAGAAAATGAATTAACATTTTTTCCTTACCTACGTTAAAGACCCATTTTGCTTTTCTAACAGAGAATCCTTTTGATCTAGCCCTCTGTCTCACATATAAGATACTGTTTTACTTTTAGAATTTTAAGGTGATGATGGTGAAGATACTGTTTTTATTTACATCATTGGCGAAATGTGAAGAAAATAGTCTTCCGTTGCATGAAGAGTGAATTGAAACTCTAAATCATGCCAGTCTGCATCTATGACAAACATAATGGTCCCAGTTAGGTTATGAGATTTTTCCCAATTACTTGACTCTTTTAGTTCATATATAATCAATCCTGTCTCACTCAATAAGTTGTGTGTTGTTATTTTTTTTAAAATCTTCAAAGCCTGAGGCCATATCTTGTGCTTTTATTATTTGCAAAAAATGTCCACTATGATTAGCACAACACCTTGCACATAGTAGGTGCTTTGGGAATGATAGATTATTTGAGTTGATTAGAAAAGCTCTTATTTTTGTGATTCAGTATTATTAGCAACGGTGAATTCATTGGGTTTAACTCCAGGCATTCTTATAACTTACAAATACAGGTTTAAAAATCACAAATTGATATTTTCAACTTCTCTGCTATTATAATTCAACCAATAACATTCCCTTTGTCAAGATTCTTGCTTGAAAGATTTTTCTCCTACTAACCCTTAAACACCTACCCTTCATCAGACTCTAGGTCCCCTCTCTTCTTTACACCTCACTTTTGTAGCAGTGATTGTTTAGTTTTTGAGCTATGACTTTTCCTTAAGTACCTCCACACATCAGTGAACTTAACTTTGGAAATTATTGACCTGGCAACAGAGAGACTTATATTAAGTGACATTATAATGAAGTTGCCAGTATAGGCACTATAAAAGGAAGATTTTTGGTTCATTCAAAACACGTGGGAAGTAGGCTGACATAGGAAAGATCCCATCATATTTTCTTATCTATTCTCTTTTATATTAGAAAGACCATAGCAAAATATAACAAATTCTGAAATTGACTCCATTTATTTCAAATTTTTACTAGCCGAAGTGGCTCAAGCTTCCCTCACACTCCTCTCTCCTTCCCTCTTTCCCTCCATCTCATTTCATCTACAAAATTACAGTTTCAGATTGATATTACGAATGCATGTAGATGAAAATACCATTGTTAAACATTTGAAGTTATTTCTACTGAATTTTTATTTCTTTCAGACTTAATATGTTGAAAAGAATGATCCTGCCTGCTGTATTCCCTCCTCTCTTTTCCTTGAATGTCACCTCAGTCTTGGGCGTCAGCCTAAATCAGGGGAAGATGAGGGCCCCCCTGATCTGGGGCAGCCCCGGGAAGTCACCTAGAAGTTGCTGTTTTTTGGTCTGGGTCTGCCTTCTTCTATTTCCTGGCTGTCCTGTGTTGTTCATGAAAGGTGGGGAGGGGGCAGGGGGCACACCCTTTACTAAGTACAGGCTGCAGATGAGAAGAACTAATGCTTTGACTTTTCTGGGATGAAAGTCTTTCCCATGTGTAAGCCTTAAATATTTAATAGAATGATTTATTTTGTCAAATAGTTTGAAGCAGGACAATATTAACTTGAAAAGGATTAATGGAGTAAACACAGACTATTCAACCACTATATCTATGTGTATGTGTCTTAAATTAATATGTATATTTATACTTTAATTGTATTGTTAGAATCTATATTATGCAAACAGAAGTTCTTTTGGCATTTTAGAAGATAAGATTGATTTGGGGCCTAAAATACTTTTAAAAAAATTTTTAGATATGTCTCAAAAAATCCACATAAAAATTATAAAATGGAAAAGAGTTGATGCTCATACTCTAGAGCAGTGGTTCTCAACCTTGGTTTCACATTAGAATCACCTGGGAATCTTTTTAAAATCCTGGTTTCTGGGCCTCATCCTCCGGAAATTCTGTTTCTTTGTTATGGGGTGGGGCCACAACATTAGTAACAAAGAAACAGAATTTCCGGAGGGTGAGGCCCAGAAACCAGGATTTTAAAAAGACCCCCAGGTGATGCTAATGTGCAGCCAAGGTTGAGAACCACTGCTCTAGAGAAAAATATCTGGCTGCCCAATTATTGTGTAGGCCTTACATTTTCTTCCAGCATTCAAAACGTTGGCCTGCTGATGTAAACTATGTCAAACAAATCTGAATTCCTCAGTGAATTTTAAGCCAGCTGTAGACAAAATGATTTACTCCATGATGCATGGTCACTTGGAATACAGTAATTAGTGGTTGAATGCTAGGAAGTGAGAATATCTAACGTGGATCAACAGTATCTTGGGACCCAAGTTAAAAACAAATTAAGTGTTTTGAGCCACAAAAGTGAACAAATAGAATTGTTCTGAGCTTTTAATAGCTCAAAGAATACTAAGCTATTTTAAGACAGAACCCATAATAGAAGCTGACTAGACAAAGGAAGGGCGGACATTGCTCTAAGTCAGCTCGGGTGTAATGGTCATTTTCAGGCTTCAAATGCTCTTTGACATAAATATGAGTTAATTAACAATAAAATAAGCAGTACACATAGACCAAAACTCAAAACACTATCACACATACAGCCTATAAAAAAGCAGTCTGAACAGGATGATTTAAAAAAAAAAAAGAGTAAGATGTAAATATTAGTAACTGAATTACAGCATATATGCCATCTCAAGACTGGGTTTCCCCTCCAAGCTGCTCAACTTTCCTCTCCTATCCCGGCAGATAATTGCTTCCACCTTTATGTTCTCTGAGACCTTATACAACACTGTTTATGATTCATTCCACATGATTTGTTCTTTTGGTGCCTGACCTCCTGAGCTGATCATGAGCAAGTTGAAGGGAGAGACCATTCATTGTCTCTCCACTGGCCTCTAGTAACTACCCAATTAAAGTCTTTTATGGACTGTCGAAGCCATTGTTTTGAAGCTGTGGGTGCCAGACCACATTACCCACATGAGAGTCGCTTGGGTGCCTTCTGAACTGTAGCTTTCTGAACACAGTCCCAGATTTATTGAATCAAAATCATTAGGAGTGGAGTCCAGGACTTTATGTTTAACAAACATCAAAGGCCATTCTTATACACACTAAAGTTTAGAATCACTATTCTCATTCATTTATCTTAACCAACTTCATATGTTATGCTTTGTTATTACTTTGGCTAACTTTTTAAAAAGTTTAAAAATCACCTCTAAATTTGAATTTTTTAGAAGTCTTCTACCTTAAACCACAAAATTTTAGAAATTTAGACTTCGGAGCTCTTCCTATTCTGTGTCCCAGTTCCTGAGATATGTTCAGAATTGGGTCAGATGTTGAAGATGAGGAGAGAGTAAGGTTTTCTCCACAGAGAATCTATTATCATGTATCATGTGGCCATAGCTGTGACTTGCATCCTCTGCTTCACAGCTGGGCTGAGGTTTTCTGTGAATACAGCCACCCCAACTGGCATTGTGATATATTTCTTCTGCTTCTTCTCTGTCAACCACTCTGGTCCCCATATTAAATAGGGACTCATCAGAATATATAGCATATAGCATAGCAGAAAGGAATCTCTGCTCATATATGCTGTCCTGATGAGCCCTATAATAAATGGCAAATATCATGAAGCAAATTGTTTTTCATTAATTTTATCAGATGACGATATATTTTATTAGAAAAAACCCCATTCTTGTCCATTTCTTATTTGAGTATTATACAGTGTATAACAATTTAAGTAGTCCAGTTTAAGAGATCTGTTTATACTCTAAGAGTTAATGATTTATTTTTATTTTGGCAGTTACTTGGAGAGTTTTCTGTAATACACTAGTAATGTAATATATCCTACCAAATTTAGTGTTATCAGGTTCCATCACAGGGAATATAGAGCATTGAATTCATTTAATTTATTTTTTATTATAGTTGATATACAATATTATGTTAGCATCAGGTGTACAACATAGTGATTAGTTATTTATATACATTACAAAGTGGTCACCTCTTATAAATCTAGTACCCATCTGACACCCTATATAGTTATTACAATATTATTTACTATACTAGAGGCCAGTGTACAAAAATTGTGCACTGATAGGGTCTCTAGCGGCTGCCAACTGCTGGCCAGGGCCTCCCTCCCTTCCCCCAGCAGGCCCCTGATCGAACTCCCAGTCAAGTGGACAATTTTCATAGTATGCTTTTATTATATAGGATTCCCTGTGATGTACTTTATATCCCCATGACTAATTTTATAACTGTCAATTTGTACTTCTTTTTAAAAATTTTTATGAGTTTATTTGATGACATGTTTATTGATTTGTTCCAATTATTTATGCATTCATTGGTTGATTCTTACATGTACCCTGACTGGGGATCAAACCCCCAACCTTGGTATTTCGGAATGACGTTCTAACCAACTGAGCTACCTGGCCAGGGCATTTAGTTGAAAAATTTTTTTTTAAATCATCACCTGAGGATATTTTTCCATTGATTTTTGGAGAGAGTGGAGAGAGAGGGAAAGACAGAAAGAAACATTGATGTGAGAGAAACACATTGATTGGTTTCCTACAACCAGAGCCCAAGCCAGGAGGAGCCTGCAGCCGAGGTATGTGCCCTTGACCAGAATTGAACCAGGGACCCTTTGGTCCATAGGCTGATGCTCTATCCACTGAGCCAAACTGGCTAGGGCAGTTGTAATTTTGATGTGGTTGTGAGAGGAGGTGAGCACAGCATTTTCCTACTCTGCCATCTTGTTCTTTCCTTTTTATTGAATTTATTGGGGTGACACTGTTTAACAAAATTACAT